CTCAAGGGCGGGCGAGCAATGTCAGAAAAATAATAAAGGGCTCCCAAAGTTTGGCTGCATGGTTCCTCCGGCTCTGCAAGCGCCGACCGGACTGGGGCTTTTTTTTGTTGTTGTTGTTGTTAAATGATTATTATTCAAAATGTTTGGCGAAATGCATTCTATTGCGTGCCCCCTGGTGACAGTACAGTACCGAGGCTTTTCATAAACACTCCGAAATGTAGCCCTTTCCTTGTAATGTCCTTACGTCAGCTTGCAACATTGCAATATTTCCTCTGCCGGGGCTGGGGCTGGGGCTGGGGCCGGGGCGGGCGGCGGGGCCCGGCGGGGGGACCGGCGGGGGGGGGGGGGGCGGCCGGGGGGGGGGGGTTAAAGAAAACGAGCCGGGGCACTGCTCTGCCCGCCGCCCCGGGGGTCTGGCGGGGGGACCCCCCCGGCAGCAGCGCTGGCCGCCCGCCCGCCCCGCTCCGCGCAAACAGCGCGGGGCGATGCTCGGTGCCTGTCTGCAAGAGCGAAGCACAAAAGGACTCATTTGACGGCAAGCCATCACGGAGCAGGCATGCTTGAAAGTAGCTGTAAGTATTGCGCTGCCCTACCAGCACAAATAACGCCCTGATGGTCTGGTGTCTGGGTGGTCATGGTGGGTAAGGGCCTAGAAACATGCACGGGTGTTGATTTACATTAAGAAATAAAAAAATGACCTTCTTTTTAGTTGGTAGAATTATATTACTGCTTTTAAAGTTACCCACCTCTGCCCGTGGCAGCCCTTTCACTATTGCAAGTAGGGCTGCTACACCAAAGAGATAAAAAGAAATACCTTGTGCCTGCGAAGCACCAAGTCAAAGCGGGAGGGTGCTGGATATGTCCTGTGAAGGGCCACTTGGACACATAACATCCGTGTAGCCCAAGACTGCACATACCCACAGACACCGGCTTCCTCTCAGACGGAGAGGGGTCAGCGGCAGCAAGGGCAAAAGAGGAAGCCTCCAGTTTGAACCGAGACTGAGGATGCAGAACCTCTGTCCCCCTCAACTCTGAAGAGCTGTTAGGGTGGTGAAAACAATCGTACTGTGGGGCATTTTGATGGGATCTGTGTCCCAAGAGCGTTCAATAGCCACTGGCACGCTTCCCAAAGAAGTGCGAGAGCTTCCTACAAAGTACTCACAAAAGGTGTCCCAACTGAGGTGTGATTTTAATTCCAGTTACGATGGATTCAGCGTCTCGAATCCATCTCACTTGAGAGGGGAAAAAAAAATCTATTTATCTTAGCGTAAAAAGCGAAAATGGACATTTCTCTGCCTTTTTTCATCAGTCTGCAAAAATACGCAGAAATCACCTGTGGAGGACAAGGGAAATTCAAGGGGCCAAATAACTTCAATTCTAGGTTTTCCTACAGAGATATACATTGTCGGTATAGGCAGAACCTGCCTAGGACAACTGAAGAGGGACTGTCAAAATTCTTTGCCTTGCCCACTGAATTTACATGCCACAGAAATGACTTTCAGCCAGTGTTCATGCAAAGCTACCTTTGAACTAGTGTCAGAAATGCCATGCTCTGGCCCACCGTGGATGTTTATGAGAGTGAATTTAAATTTCTGACATAGCTCAAGGTGTGGTAATGCGGGTGGAAGATTATAGGCCTGCATTTTAAATCGTGACTCGGTTGTTTTGAATGACATGTTTTGAATGGCTCGAGACGCACAAAGGGGCCTATTTTCTTCACCGCGCTGAGCAGCATAAGTATCTGCCCTCTAAAAATCAGACCTGTTTTAAGTTTAAGTTGATCTATCATGATTTTAATTGCTCAGAGCTTCAACCAGAAAGTAGAAGAGAAAGTCTAGGGAGTAAAGCAGGATGAGGAGGAAAGACTTGGGAACCATCACGAGAGTTACACACACCTTTACAGAGCCTGTTCACTGTTTGTCAATGCCAAGTTCATCTACCAGCACCTCTCCACTCCGCAGGATGGGTTTGAACAGAGAATTCAGTGATTTTGATGCCCTTCAGTATGGGACAATGCATGCTGGAGTGCCTTCTTCCTTTTGTAAAACCAGTATTGTAATTTTTAAGGAGCATGGAAGCACTTGCAAGCGTAGCAGCTCATCACATCACAGTGTGTGCTCATCTCCCTCTCCCAGTTCTTTTATGGGCTTTGCTCACACCAAGCCCATATGACCTGTGAAAAATTATATCCTCGTTGCCTTCCCTCAAGCCCCACAAGCATCTCCATGAAAACAGCCCCATTTCCAAAGCACTGCACAAAATTCTAGTGTCAGCATGTCTCCACTGCAGCCGCTGGTGAGCTAAACCCTCTTAATGCTGCGGGGATTTTGGTGACCACAACAAAGGGCAGCTGGGATGTACAAGGGTGTAGCCAGACACTCTTCCGCAAAAGGGGCTGGAGCAGTTTAAGGCTCCTCAGCTGTCCCATGCTGCTCCTTGGGTGATGGGTATATCCAGCAGCAGAGCTGTGCTCGCAGTGTCAGTGTTTTTAGTCCTTTCCTCTGCAAAGTCAGTTGGATTATCTTAAGTTGTGCTGGTGGCTGCTAGAGCCAACATTGCCGATATTGCGTGGAAAAAAATTATGGGAAACTTGGTGGCTCTGTTCTGGCAACTCGGACATCTTACTAATTGTTTTTCCAGGGATTAGCAGATAAAGAAACTAATTGGTGAGGCTGTCTCATTGTCCTGACTTTTCTGTGAGTATTTCGATCTAGAAGCCATGCAAGGAGGGTGCTTGGCTGCTCTCGGGCAGGGAGGAGTGAGTGGTGGAGCCATGCTGAGGTGCCTCTGCAAAACATAATTCGATCATCGAGTTAAGTTTTTTGAAATTTTGAAGTGAGTTTTTAATACATACTTTTAAACCAATTGGAAAAAAGTCAGCAGCATAGGCCCAAACAGATACCCAGAAAACATCTGCATGGTGGTCGCAGACCCTGCGGGCAGTAAGCAGTTGGATGTTCACATGGCTGACGCAGCGGTAGGAGTCCAGGGGCTACGTTGCATGAAGAGATCTGCTGCGATCTTGGAGCTCACGGGAGAGGATGGGATTTTTCAGGAGTATTTAAATGACCTGGGAGGAGAAGTCTCACTGATGGTGACATCCTGAAGTGGGCATTTTGGAAAAGCCTCCAGCTGCTTCCTTTAGTTTGAGCAGTGATGGCTCACAGTACTGAGCTCTCTGGTCCCATCTCTGGTGTGGTGCTCAGAAAGGGCTCAGGCTTGGTCATCAGCACAGAGGGAAGGTTTGCTATAATTTTTTGAGCTTCCCAGTTTTTCTTATCATTTTGTAGTGTTCTTCCTATAGATTTTCTCTGCAGTGGTATATACAAGGTCCTTCTATTTTATGATGTCCTGTAGCTTTAGACACATTGTCTCCATAGTTATTTCCATGCTACTGTAGGGAAGTTAACCAAGTTATCTTTTTTCCTCTTGACCATATCTACTCTTTAAGTAAAAGTTTGCAAAGAAGCTGTCTATGAAACCAGCCTTGAAAGAACAGGGAGCACTGAGCTGAAGGCAAGAGAGGCGTCAGCAGATGACAGCTTACATCACTTCCAGTTTTCCCCTCTGACACGAGATTTCCCTATTGCAGTAATTGGTTTGATCTCACACCACACCGTACTGTCCTATTTCGGTTCTATTTCAGTTGGCACAAACAGTTGAGCAGCACCCATCAGGCCATGGCTGTCCTATGGGGAACTCTACAGTAAATACACAAAAGGGGTAGTTCAAATGCTGTAACAAAACACCCAAATCAAACCAGGAGGAATAACGAGATGTGCAGTTTGAAGCAAGGCATTTGAGGATGTAAACAACATTTTTAATTTAAAATGGTTGAAGTCATAAAAGGAGACTGGTTTAAAAGGGCCTTTCATGCAGAAAATTAGTTTAAAGACCTAGTTAAAGAATTTGTTTTGTATCCATAACTCTTAATGCAGTTTGCACTTATCAGTCCATACATGCACCTTCTCACTTAAACACTTCTCTCTTGCCTTATATTTCAGCATGCAATCTAATGTCATGCACCATCATTACATGGAGAAGTTACTTCATTAGGCATCAGTGTCATACTGACATTAAAATCTTGTATTTTTTGTGGGTCACCAGAATCTGTACAGAGTACACAGACAAAATCTGAACTTGGACCATCTCATCAGGTGTCAATAAAAATTTATCAGTTTCTCTTATACAATTTTAAATTTTCAGATATTTTATTTTATTTTTTTAGGGAAAACAAGTGTAATAACTCAGAAAATTCACAGTAGCCCCCCCGTACTGCCATGCTGTAGCCTCAGGGGCATGCGTGGAGAGGAGGCGTGGGCAGAGGCAGGAGCACCGGGCAGGAGCCTGCCTTGGGAAGCAGCTGGAAGTGCAGTAGAAAGCAGCGTCAGTAACTCTACCTGGGCACCAATTCTACTTGGTCAATATCAGGCAGGATAACTGCTCAAGGTAAGCAAGCAGGGGCTGGGCACGATATTGCCAAGACCTGGCAACCAAAACCTCCTGCAATTTGATGAACATTGAGTACAGAAATATTTTTGAAGCTGTTTTTGCCTGTGTTTTACAGCAGGGTGTAAAGCAGTGAAATGACTGTCACATTTTACCAAGCTCAGTGACAGAAGCAACCGCTTATTTCAGCAGCATTAAATGTGGTCCTGAAGTTCAAAGCGCACATGGCGGGAGGTATCATGCTGGCTGCGTCTTTTCACTCACCGTTCATGTTA